ACAAGTGGAATTTTAAAATTTGAATGTTTTGAATATACTGTGGTAAAATTTTATGGCAGTTATTTTCAGTGTGTTTAGGTAGTAGGGCTTGATCTGTAAATGAAGTTTGCACTACTGCTGGAAGCCATTGTAACTGAAAATTCATAATTTCTTCTCGTTCTTTAAATACATATCTAAACCTTTTTTGGCACTTAGTTCTGAATTTAGGACTATTTTACTGGGATTGCTGTAAAATTCCTTTCTTTAACTATTAGAGTAATCACATGTATAATGAATTTTCCTGTATTATGCAAGGTGAAATAATTAATTGTTACTGCTTCAAATAAGGTAAATATTGCCAGCATTAGTGGAATGGTATTGGGTAGCATAACAGGAAAGCTTTTAGTTATTTTAAAAGTCAGAAATAAGCGGATACAAAAACATTATGTTGTATTAGTGATTTGCTCTGCCTACAAAGACTTAAATATCATGTTTGAATTCCTGTTTTCTGAGTAAGGGATTAGTATCATAGAAAGATCTATAAGATATGAGTGAGACTGAGTGATTTCTTTCATAGATACTCCCAAAATTAAAGGTGAGGAATAGGTGCAAGCAAAGGGGGGCGAAGGGAGAAGATATTTCCTGTCTAGAATTTTAAATGTTATAGGTACAGGATGATGAGTAAACTGAATGCCAAAGGTGCCTAAAAACTTAGTTCCAGTTTTCATGCTTCCTCACTATTCTAAAACCATTTTTGGTAGTAAGATTCATTTTTCAATTAAAAAATGTCAGGTTGCTAAAGAAGGTGAAGAAAACTTACTTGTTGCAAGACATAAGCAGTAAGGTCCATTAGTAGGTAAACTGAGTCACAGAATGTGGTGATACATGCAGTTAAACTTCCTGTTTTCATTTTTAGGTTGTCTTTTAGTAAGAATGGAGTGGTTAGGATAGATGGTTTCTCATCTCCTGATCAATATGATGATGAAGCCCTGAGTTTATGGACACATGAGAACTATGAAGATGATGAACTGGACCTAGAAACATCTAAATACATCCTAGATATCATAGGTGATAAGTTTTGTCAGTTGGTAACGTCTGAAAAAACAGCCATGTCCTGGGTGAAAAAAGACGGTAAGGAAACCTAAAATGTTTCTCAAGCGTTCTGCAGTTGTACTCGAGTGTTTGTGTTCCTCACGGTCTGGTGCTTCCTTTCAAGTACAAACCTCACCAGAGCATTGCACTGGATTTTTCTGGGCTATTTTGTAAGAGAGTATGTCGGGAAGGGGCAGGGACCTTCCTCAGTGGGCCAGCCCGTTCCGCCTCCCTGCACTGGCGGCTATGCTGGACTAGGCTGCTGTTGGGCTTGGAGCAGCCTCGCTTCCCAGCTTGGCTTCCAGCTCTGCAGCCAGAGCGGCCAGCTCCAAGCCAAGGCCCCCAGCCAGCCAGGTACAGACTCCTGCCAACAGACGCTGTGTTTCTGACGTGTCTCCTTCCTGAAGCAAAGGAGGATCACGTGGAAGCGTGGGCCCTGCAGAGCATGTGCTAACACTGTCACCTCCTCCCTACCAAAGCCACAGTTAGTCCATCCTTCTGGCCCATGGCAGATGGGCACAGGCTGGAAACAGGCTGGTGGCTCCACTAATTCCAGGCACTAGGAGGAGGAGGAGGAGGAGGTAGGGCAGAAAGCAGAAGTACTAGCCAGGTCCCTAGGACAGCACCTCCCTCCCCTCCTGCTGACTTCACCTGTCCAGCTTGCCAATTTGGTTGCCCTTGAGATTAAACATGTCCCATAGGCAGGCAGCTGAAAAACTCGCCTCCTCTTTGTTTCACGGGGTTAAAGGTGACTTAAACAAGTTCTTCTTCATACTTGCAAGCCACTAGTGTTGAGCAGGAATATTCTTACTCTATTACTGCAGTCTGTTTTTTTGGATGCTTAGATTTGTTTATAGTATATTGATAGTGGCATTGATGGGAGTGCTGTGTAATGCAACTAAGGGAGTGGAGGTGGATGGTCTGTTTATGAAGGATTGCTTTCCTCCCCTCCTACCCAGTTGCCTCTGTGGGGAAAATTACGAATGCTTCATCTATAAAGGCTATTCATCCTGTGCTTTGCATTTAAATTTCAGTCCTTTTATTCTGCTTATTTTGTATTTCAGCCAAAATTGCATGGAAGAGAGCAGTGAGAGGAGTCCGTGAGATGTGCGATGCGTGTGAAGCCACATTATTTAACATTCACTGGGTCTGCCAAAAATGTGGATTTGTGGTCTGCCTAGATTGTTACAAGGCAAAGGAAAGAAAAAGTTCTAGAGGTCAGTTATGAACTAGAATATTGTATAGACTGTTTATTCTCCCATGTAGATCCACTAATGTAACTGTCTTTCTGTAAAGTGTTAAATCACTGCTTCTGTGTTTTGGTTTATCTTAAATCTTTTTTGCCTCCTTTTTTTTTGTTGGTAGATGTAGAATCATTCAGAAAGCAACTGTTCTGGGGGCTGTTTAGGTCTTTGTCCACTTTTCAGACTTTTTGTGTGGATTGTCTTGAATTGCTTGCATCTTGCCTCTCAAGGTTAAATCACTGAATCGTTCTGTGATTATTATTTTATTATCTGTTATTATGATTCTATGATAAATTTTGTTCTTCACCTGTGAGTCTGGCTCTCTGTTACACCTCTGTGCCTTATGGTAACTCATTACTCATGACTTGCCTTAATTTGAGTGCTTTCTACACGTCCACCCTTTATGGGGAAGCAGTAGTAGTACATGGTTTGTCATGTTGACTTAACAGTCTACTTTTTTATTAGCGAGATGGTGAAAAATGCTTCAGAAAATATTTAAAAATGGGTATAGTGGAGGTTTCACAGTCCAGAAGCCTACACCCATACTCAGTTTAACCAAATTCCTGTGCTTTAATGGAAGTGCCTAGTTTAGTCTGGAGTGAAGTATTAACAGGACTGTCTTACTGTAATTTTGGAGTGACCCATCCTGGTTGCAGCTGAAAGGAGGAATGGCATGGCAGATTGACCTGGTCCTTCAGCCCTGGGCTGACGCTGGTGCTCAGGCTGTTTGTTGGAAAGAACTGCCTTCCCCTGGGTGGCAGGCATCGTGCCCTGGCACAGCCCTGTGGTCACACACTGCGCCAGGAACTGATTCAAGTGTAATGCTGTTTTGAAAAGCATTTCCATGTTTGTCATAGCAGCCTAATGTTGCAGATGTGAAATGTTAGTGAAATGAACTTTAACTGTTAGATGGCAAATCTCTGATGAACGAAGAGACTTTGTCCTTGGCTTGCAGCGAGAGGTTTCCTAGACTGCGGTTGTAGGATGTTCCCAGAGACTTCCATCAAAGCCTTGAAGGTTCTAGGGAACTAATGTCAGTGTCTTCCAACACCAGGAACAGTTGTTAATGCTTTAATGCCAGAGGCTGCTCCAGCAGCTCTTAACTGGCTTGAATCTGTGTTCACTCGTGTGTGCATCCATCCGACGTGGCTTGGGATACACGCTGAACATTATTTACCCTAGTGGGAACATGCAGTCAGAGGTTTTTTATAGTGTGAATGTTAACCAGCCAGGAAAATTTTGGTAAAATGTCTCAGAAGCTTTAAAAAGCAGTATACAGATGCAGCCTTTTCAGCCTTCTAACAGGGAAGACTTTTCTTAACTGTTCTTCACATTACATATAAGAAGGGCAGTGTGATAGCCTCCCTTTCTGTGGCTTTATTTCTAATGATGCTGTAGGATTCATGTGAACTGTCTTTCTTTTGGCACTCTTACAACTTCAGAACCACCCACCCATCTCTGTATAATAGCACTTTATATTACACCATTTTTCCTGGAACCAGTCGTTGTTTTTACAGTTGCTAAATGTAACAGAGAATACACTGGTTTCCCCCTGCTTCAGCAGAGGTTTAAATATTCCATATTCAGATATTTATCAATGACTTCTCTCATTACTTGACAATGTGAATGAATGAGTGTGCGTCCATTGTTACCTTCAGACAGTTCATGGCACCATCAAGTGGAATGCCACGTTATGGCATTTCAGTGATAAAATAATGTCAAGTAGATCTATTCTATTTTTTATTTGATTTATGTTCGTGACCTATTAAATATTTCAGTGTTTTAGGTAAACTACAGATTAGCTGACAAATCAAAAATTTATCTGAGGAATTTGGTAATTTTTGTATCTATTACAGTGTAAGAAAATAATGCTTTAATGTGCTAAACACTTCCGTTCGGTGTGTTCCTTAGGTTACATTGCTGGAGCTGATCACACTAGTAAAAAGATTTTGAGATTTTATTAAAACTGGCAGTTCAATAGGATGCAAGACTTGGGAGTTGAGGGAGAAATTGCATTCCTATTTTTGCCCCAAAATCACATAGCATATCAGTGACTAGTTGCTTGGCCCGACGTGTTGCACTCTTGTTCTTCCTCTGTCTTGCTTCTACGCTGCATATTTTTCTGGCAGGGGCCATCTTCCTGAAACTTTTATGGAAGACTTCTCTCTCCTACCAGTTAGGCTCTCTCTGCTGCCACAAACCATTTTTAACCAGTACAGACAGACTTGTGGTTTCATGGTTGCTTTAATGTAATATAAATTCATGATGGAACTTCGCTGTCCTTGTGCCACCAGTGACGTGGGCACAGCCGTGTGGTGGCCAAATCAGAGAACTGATTCGGTTAAAAGTTCATCTTTTTTGTTTGTTTGGCCCTCTCTGGTCAAAGACAGTCACTTTCAGTTGCAGTGTGGATGGTGTCAAATTAATTAACCATACAGTTGCAGCCTAATTGTGTGTTTTTGGTGTTAGAATTCATCAAGGAAGCCACTGCCTCAATAGCAACCGTAAAGATTTCTGCTTATGCTAAATTGGCAAGTTGCTAAATGTAATAAAGGGAATATATTTCAAGACTCAAGGCTCTGTGTTACAGATGGAGCTACTTCAGATTTCAGTATTTTAAAAACTCCTTATTCTTTTCCTTACTGTGAAAAGTAGCTGTTTTATGGCAAGTCTTTGTTACACAATACCAGGATTGAAGACTTAGAGTATGCACACAAAACTGTTTCTGTTGGCATTGTTATTTTGCAGATAAGGAATTATATGCCTGGATGAAGTGTGTGAAGGGCCAGCCTCATGACCACAAACACCTGATGCCAACACAGATTATTCCAGGCTCTGGTAAGACCACCTGCAAACAAGCAGGATATGTTTTTCCCCAGGTCTCTCTGTGAAGAGAGGCTGGAGTTGTTTCTGGAAACATCTACCATTTAAAAACCTGTGAATTGTGTCAAATAGCTGTGGGAAGGCAAGTGATTCTGGGCAGTTAGCAGCAAGGGGCACAGATGATGACAGGGGAAGGAGGAGTATGCCAACAGATGTCTGAAGGGGTTTTGGGGACAGACAGCAAAGAAATTCGGGTGTGTCTTGTGACTGTTTTGTACCTTTTCAGAGCAGAATAGAACAGCCAGGATGTACTTAGTAAATCTGACCTTAGCAGTTAAAAAGGAATCTGAGAATAGTTCTCCCAAGGGGCATTACATGGCAACATATTTTGGGGCGTTTTTCACTGTTTTCTGCCCCATCAACCCAAGAAAAGAAAAGATTCATGTGGTTTTGGTAGGACATCTGATTGAGCATCTTAAAGCAAAATGCAGTTAAGGAGTTAGTGATAAATAAAAAAACTACACAGTTTTTAACCAGCTAAATTCAGAATTTTTTTTTTTTTTTTACAACCAAGTAAGTGTTATGAAGATGTGCAGTTAGGTGTGGTGGTGGTGGTTAGTGCAACTTTACTTGTGATCTCTGGCAGCACTGATGTGCAGAGCAGGGAATGGAAAACTCAGATGTGTCCTCAAACTTGTTAAGTAAATTCCCAAGTTATTTTAAGCTGGAAATACAGACTCAGTCATTATTTTATGGGTTGTTGCATGTTAGTTCAGGTAGAAATGAAGGTTGGTTAGACTCCATAATAAATTTAAATCGTGACATTCCCCAGAACAGGTTCCAGACTGAAACTGTTTTTAATTTTAAATTGTGAAATGAACCACTCATCTGGAAACAGCACAGTGAAGACTGCCTACATAACCTCAGTTTTGTTCTTCTGTGCGTACCCATTGCCAAGCAGCCTTAAATTACATGATCACATACTAATTTTTCTGTCAAGACATGGCTTACTTCAGTCTAAAGTTTGACAGTTTTATCAAATGAAGCAAAGCTGCACCCGTGGAACAATGAGGAGTAAATAATGAATGATGGGCTTGCTTGGTGTGTGCTGTGCAATGGGAATTCAGAGTGAAGGTTAGATTATTCAGAAGAGTAGTGTGCAGTTATTTAATTAAAAACCTTGTCTTTTTCTGCTTGAGCTTTAAGGTGAACTCTACAGTCTTTTTACAGTATTAAATTTAGCATTTTTAGTAGTTTAAATTTTAAAAAAGTTTGGAGACGGCATTTTAGCATCACAATGTGCATGTTGTAAAGAGGGTCACAAAGTGATTGAGAGCTGCTAATGATTTTCTTCTTTCTTCCAGTTTTGACAGATCTTTTAGATGCTATGCACAGTATTAGAGAAAAATTTGAAATTAAATCCCATTGTCAGTGTACCAGCAAGCAGAGCACACAAGCTGGCAAGCTCCCTGCAATGAATGGTGTGTCCCAGGTGAGTCTAAAATGTGTGTATACATTGCAGTTTGTTCAGATGTTCTGATCCTTGTGGATTTTTACATTTAAATAGTACCAGTTGCATTTTAATTGGCATATTAAAATACATAAATATTGGTGGTTAAACACTAGCCTTGCCTTTGAAATTCTTTAAAGCAAAGTTGCATACTTAAAAATAAATTTGTTCTTCACAGGTTTTGCAGAATGTCCTTAACCACAGTAATAAAATTTCTCTGTGCATGCCTGAGTCTCAACAGCAGATCCCCCCTCAAAAGTCTGAGACGAATGGTAACACAAGTCCAAGAAGTGATGTAAGCACAGACAGCAAGTTAACACCCCCTGAATCCCAATCACCACTGCATTGGTTAGCTGATCTTGCAGAGCAGAAAGCCAGAGAAGAAAAGAAAGGTAAATGTTTGAAATTGTCATACCATGTCCATGACTTCGGGGACACCAGTGATACACAGTTGAACTCATTAGGAAAAATTCACACTATTTTCTGCCCAACAAAAAGAAGAGATTGTTTTTTCCCCCCTTAATTTTACTCTTGAAACTGCAATGCCTTCTCCAGGTGGCAGCAGACTCTGTTACCAGAAGAGCCACTAGTGGAATGCATGTGTAATGTGGCAGAATTTCCAGCTACAGCATCTCTCATTTGTGACAGGCACTCACTCAGCTGTGTGTCTGAGATGCTGAGGAAGGCTGTTTCATGGTCACACTGTTTGACTGCTTTTGAAGGGTCTGGTTCATCCTCTGGTGTGTTTTCAGATGAATGAAGTGCTGGTGCTACAGTGTATTGCCACCAGTACGGCGCGGGGTACTAGTGCTGTTCCTGTGTCTGCATTGTGATCCAATAGTGTAAACTTCCAATTATTATTTCTATTTTAGAGAACAAAGAATGTCCTGGAAAACATTCAAGGGAGGAGAAAGACCAGGATAATTCAGAGTCCCAAAACTGCAAAAGCTCCCCTCCTGCATCCCAGAACAACGAGCAGGGCTCAACCTTACGGGATTTATTAACTACGACAGCAGGCAAACTGCGTCTAGGTTCTACAGATGCTGGTATTGCTTTTGCTCCAGTTTACTCTACAGGAACAGCAGTAAGTGTTTACAGGGCACACTGGTTTTCTGTCAGGATTTGAAATAATAATAATGGTGGTAATTTGTTTTGATACGTTGCATTTAGAGCCATCTGAGAGCTGTTTTGCTTTAAATATTTATAATTAAAACTTTTTATATATATATATATATACACACATTTGCCTTAACATTTTATTTATGTATGAAGTGATAATTGGTACATACTGTGAATAAAATGTCTGTGAAGTTAGATAAAGCCTTAACCTGGCAAAGTAAAGGAAGATTGCAGTGTATTGGGTTTTGTCATAACTGCTTATTTCTAACTTCTGTGTAAGAATGCATGGAGTTTTCTACAAAAGAAGTAGATAATTGCGAGCTTCTAGTTGGTAATAAAATGTCATTCTACTGCAAAAGAAATTGCATTCATTTTATTTGTTTTTATGTTGTTTAAGCACATGTTTGTTTTCTTTCTAATAGAGTGGCAAGAGTGGAAGGACTATGCCAAACATTCTTGATGATATAATTGCTTCAGTAGTAGAAAACAAGATTCCACCAAATAGAGCACCAAAGATAAATGTAAACTCTGAAATAAAAGATGAGCCAAAGGATGATAGAAAAAGTATTCAGGATGACTGCAGTAAACGGTACAGTGATATTCAGTATTCGTGGATCTGTGACAAGCATGTTTTGTGGCTCAGAGACCATGAGAACAACAACAACTGGAAGCTCTTCAAAGAGTGCTGGAAACAAGGAAGGGTAGGTATTGAGTCATTCAGTCTATAAAGTGACCTTGGTATGAACTCTGGGGGAGTTTGTGATAAAGGACAAATTTGCCTAACTCTGTGTTTGGAAGTGTATTGTTAGCAGTGGGCAAGAACTTGTATAGCCCACACAGGAACCTTTTGTATTTTAAACTTCAGTTAATTGCTAATAATAAGTAAGAAATTACAGCTATAGAGATTGAAATTCAAAGAAGATGTATTTAGACATTTTGGGTGTGGTTGCTCCTGGAGGAAGTGTTAACACCTCAGCAGGGCCAAGCTCCTCAGTCTGTGTTTCAGATATATTTGTGTTCCAGTTTAATTGAGGGAGGTGCTTACTTGCAAAAGGATAATTATTGATTTTTCTTAATTTTTTTTTTTTTACAGCCTGTTTTAGTGTCCGGTATGCATAAGAAAATGAACTTCAGCCTGTGGAAAGCTGAGTCAATTAGTCTAGATTTTGGGAACCAGCAAGCTGATATCTTGAATTGCAAAGACAGTATTATTTCAAACACCAATGTCAAGGATTTCTGGGATGGTTTTGAAGATGTTTCAAGTACGTTACTTCAAACATATTATTCCATCAGTTCTGAATATGGTCAATGTTAGAAACTGTGGGTAAAAATATTATTTATGGATCTTGAGGCTTTGAAGAAACTTTAATTTAAAAAGAAAGCTCTAGGTAATCAGTTTCCAGGGAATGTGATGGAAACCTGCATCTTTGTACTTTCGTAGAATTAAAGATGCATGAATATACTAGTTAGGTCTGACTAAGGAACCAAACACATGTCATGGTTCTTCAACTGGTTGAGTTTGCTTTGTATCCTTCTTGAGTCTCAAAATTAATTTCCTGATTTGTGGATAAACTCTTTATAGACATATTAAGAGTTCAGTTACATGTTCCAGTTGAATAAAGTAAAACATCCACAGTGTATTAATTTTTAGTAATTTCTATCTTACTTGCAGAACGGCAGAAAGTGAAAAATGGGGAAACAGCTCTACTGAAACTGAAAGACTGGCCTTCTGGTGAAGATTTCAAGGCTATGATGCCAGCAAGGTATTTGGGTTTAATATTAGATATTCTCAAATCAATCTCTGTGGGTTGTGGTTTGTTTTTTTTTTTTCTCTACATAACACATTCAATTACATTCTTCTTTCTTTTCTTCTCCAGGTATGATGACTTGTTAAAAAGTTTACCCTTACCTGAATATTGTAGTCCAGAAGGAAAGCTAAACCTGGCTTCTCATCTGCCAGGATTTTTTGTCCGTCCGGATTTGGGACCCAGACTGTGCAGTGCATATGGTGAGTGTGCCCTGGAAGTGTTGCAGTTTACTGCTTCCCTTAGAGTATCACACATCATAAGCTTCATAGAAAGCTGAGCTTGCTTGGAGGATAATTGCTCACTGAAAGTAGCAGTAATACTTGACTGGCTTGCATATTAACAGTACGTGCACCTCAGGCATGAGAGTTTATTTCCTTCTGCATTCCTGTCTTGTCCTGTGCTGTCATAGCCTCATGAAGCATATAAGTGGTTAGCTGCAGTTCCTGTCTTTAATAATGCTGTATGACAAAATGCTTCATGAAATATTATTGTGTTTGTAATCCTGGTCGTACATAAATCTCAACATACTTCTCGTCATTTGTATTGTATGCTGTATGCTCAAAACCTGCTTAGAAAAGGTTGTTTCCCTCAGACTTTCCCAACTGCTCCTTCTATTGCAAACTTGTTCAATTTGGTTTTACAAATTGTTGTAATAGGGCAAGAATTGAATTGTAATTTGTGGCGTGATGGCTTTGGTTGAAAAAGCTCTCCAGATGTTCTTTGAAGTAAACATATTAATGATAGTGATCACAGCATGGGTCTGAAGAGCTGAATCATTAACGACACTTTCATGTAACACTGCTGCAAGGCAGTGTTCTAAAATGTCCCATTGACTTAAGTGTGGATGTTTTCACCTCTTAGAAGTAGAATTATTTTTCCTCTTTTCTGGGGACTCTTACAACTAAAATTATTTTTCCTCTTGCTTGGGGACTTCTTTCAATTAAGCACTCAGCTTAGAGCCAGGTGTAGAAGTGACACATTTGAGGTGATAACCTTGTGTGTTCATTGTACATTTATTATGCCTGGAATAACCTGAAAGTTTGGGAGGGAACGTAGTGGTCAGGAAGTGTCTTCAGTTATTCTGCTGACATGTGGTTTGCTCTGACACCACTGCCCAGTTACCAGGGCTAAGAGATGTTTCACTGGCTAAACAAGAAAATAACAGCCTGTTTGTCGCTTGTGTATCTGGGAGTTTGCACGTTACAGCCTGTCTGTACATAAAATACTGCATTCCTGTGATGCTGAGTGTAGTTTCAGAAATTTCTTCTCAGCTGTTGCACGTTTCTATTTGAAGGTGAATATGCAATACAACAGATCTTAATTTTATCTTGGAATATAGGTGTAGCTGCTACTAAAGACCATGATGTAGGCACCACGAATCTCCATATTGAAGTCTCCGATGTCGTGAACATCCTCGTTTATGTTGGCATAGCAAAAGGAAATGGAGTCCTTTCCAAATCAGGTGAGGGGAAGCTCATTGGGAGGGGTGGAGATGGACTGAATGATTGCAGCTTTTAAAGTTGACACTGTTCTTCTGATTCGGGTGAAGGATACCCACAAGTACTTGCTTGAACCTGGGAAATTCTTTGTTTCAAGAATTTGCACACACATTAATTCTGCATAAATTACACTGCAGCTTATGAATTATGAAATGGTATATCAAACTCTTGTCACTTTTTTTGCCATTACCTATTATTGATGTAGCATTTCTGTGCTGGGGCTGGCAGAGCTAATGGAAGTGCAGGATGAGGGATTTTCTCTGGAAGCTGTGGTAGTTCTAACAATTATGTCAGGATGATATATTTGCCAGACCTTCTGTTTGTTCTGCTCCCTCTGGATGCACTGTGTTTGCTCTATTGGATTTGGACTGTAATATAATTTTTCAGCACTGGAGAGCTTAAATTGGTGTATGTTAGTTGTCTGTATGAGGTTTATTGCTTATGTGAAACAGTCCTTAAATCACTGAAATAGTTTTGTTTCTTTCCCCTTACTCTTTTGTCCTCTTATTCCATAATCAGCAAATGTAGTTTTTTGGGTGTGACTGATAGAGCTGCAGTAAGGCTTTTTGTCTTGTCTTTACTTGGGTTTTCACTTCTTTATGCACTGAGTTAACAGCAGCTGAACTTGAGCATATTGGAGAGCTCTAGCTTCTTGTAGCTGCTGCAGAAAAGCACACAAAACACTGCTTTTGCTGACTGCAGGAAAACACCTTTTTTGTTTTTCTGTTTGGTGCCAGCCCTGCTGGTTGTTTGTGGTGGGGTTTTTTTGGTTTTTTTTTTGTTTTTTTTAGGTATGATAATGTGTTCTATCAAATTCCAGAAATATAGAAAAAGTTAAACATTGTTTTTAAGGTATTTATGGCATTCGTGTTCTAGTAACTAATTACAAACACCAAACAAAAAGACACCTGTGGGCTTCTGTTATATTCAGCAAACTTTTGTCTGCTCAGTCTCACACAAGAAATTCTAAAAAAGGGTGTTGAAGTTTTCTTCTCATTTTTAAAAAAATTTTTGTTGAATTTTAGGAGTTTTGAAGAAGTTTGAAGAGGAGGATTTGGATGACCTTCTAAGGAAGCGGTTGAAAGACTCGAGTGAATTACCTGGTGCTTTATGGCACATTTATGCTGGCAAAGATGCTGACAAGATAAGGGAGTTTCTGCAAAAGGTTAGATTTATAATAGTAGACGTTTCATTATAAGTAACTGGTAAATCAAATGGAGCTGGCAAAACCACAACCCCCACCTCTCTGCTAGGGGAGGGACAGAAGCAAAATTATTTCCCGTATAGGAAATTATAATTGACCTGCTACCTCATCAACAAATAAAGTATGTAACATGATACATAGTCACTTCTGGAGAGTTACTGGTAGCCTGCAAACTGAAGGCTCGGGAGGGCATGGAGATCTAGTCTTGTCCCTCTCTGATACGAAGGATATTCTGTAGTATAATGTCTTCGTCACTGATCCATTCTTGCATTATCAGATGCTGAAATTTCTTCATGCAGAATGCCCTGACAGCAGCCACTGATCTTCATACAGGCTCTTATGTCAGTTAGCTCAAAGAACATGCCTTGCCTCTTAGTGAAGGTGAAGGTGGTGGGGGATGATGTACCCCAGGGCAGCAAACTTCTGTAACGTTAGCTACAGTGCAGATCTTCCTTCTGCAGCATGTGATGGACAAGTTAGAGCCATTCTGCCCCATAGAACCTTTCGGGTCATTACTTACCACATAGGATGAATATCCACATGTGGGCCATTGATTGTCATCAGTGGCATTAAATTTAGAGTTACCATCTTGGAAGTATTTTTTCTGTGCCTTGTCTTTAGCATGTTTTCATGTTCCAGAGGGTGGTCTTGATGGATGACATAGCAGTACCAAAATATCACTGAAGTGGTTGCCCAGGAAAAAGAAGTCCTCACTGTCTTCTACTGTGGGAAAATGTCAGAGGGGTTTTAACTGGCTAAACCAAAGGGATCTGTAAACAGGCTGAAAGCCAAGGTCTCTATTGCAAGCAGGAAGAGCCTCAGAAATTCAGCAGTAAACGATTCTCTTGGACAATAAAGCAGTGTTTCAGTCCCAGGGCAGCTGTCCTCTGGTGACTCAAACGTTTGCTCTTTGGCAAGCTGAACTGTGGGGAAAAATGAGCACTAAATAAAATACAGCTAATTCCATGAGATTATTAATTACCCAGCAAGGTTTTTCTGTTCATTCATCAAGTAGATGGTGGCTCTTCAGTTTGGAAAAGAGAGTTGTGAACAAAATTCCAAATGCAAGGGAATAGCTGGACAATGAACGTTATTGAACGTTTCTTCTTTTAGAGCAGTTAGGGGATATTGTGAAACTCTTTGAGCAGCAGGTTTAAAACAGAAGCTCTTAAGACGCTATGGAATAAAGTTTGTCCTTTGCTGCTACAGTTTGCCATGGTATCCAAAATTAGTTGTGTATAGCCTTGTATTTTTGTTGTGGTTGTATTTTTGAAATACTGAATTGGAGGTTAATTGATGACTAGACCTTGGGACCACTTTCCTGGGTGGTAACAGATGAAGTGTCACTCTCTTGTTAGTACAGAAGGAAGAAGATAATACACAAGAACAGTTTCAAGCTCTGCATCACATAAGTATATTTAGTATCAATATGTATAAAAATGGTATGTTTTTAGTGAGATGATTGTCTTCTGAGTCACGACGGGTGGCTTGGATATGTGCTTTTTATCTTCACTTGCTTAGTCACTGTGATTGATTAGCTGTTGATTAAGGGTAATATTTGTTCCTCTGTGGTTAACTTGATGAGAAATGGTGGTTGCAGTCAAGTCTACTGGTGTCAGCAAGTTGATGTTTGTTTGTTTTTTTTTTTTTATTATGCCCATCATTTTTCCTGAATTCCTTATTGGGATGGTAGGAAAATAACTTATTACAGAGTGGTTGAGATTGAAATGGGACCTCTTGAGGTCCTGTTGTCCAGCCCCTTTTGTGCTCTAGGAGAGTTGCCTAGAGCAGGTTGTCCAGGACCATATGACCCTTAGTTTTGTCTGGTGCTTTTTTCCTGAGCTGAGATTGGTGTTGGGTGTCTGTGTCAAAACTGAAGGTGGTAACCTTGAGGAGTTGGGAGCATAAGAACTCTTGAGGTCAGATTTTATGTTCTTGAAGAAGTCACATGTGAGAGTGTGTTGCTTATTAATAAATTATTGTGCCGTGTTCTTTAAAGCTTTACATGTTGGAGTGGGAGCTCTTCACATGTCTTCAGTCCAGTGGGACTCCTCAGTTCCTTTGAGGTTCTTTTGAATCCTTAACTAAAATTCCCATGTGGGTACTGAGAACACCATAGTGTTGCTTTTTCAGTTAGGTATACTTACAACTTACCAGAAAAAGGTGTTTCTTTGCAAAGTGACGTGGGATTTTTCTCTACTTGCAGATTGCAAAAGAGCAAGGCTTAGAAGTTTTACCAGAGCATGATCCAATACGTGATCAGAGTTGGTATGTGAACAAAAAACTTCGCCAAAGACTTCTGGAAGAATACGGAGTGAAAACCTGCACGGTCATCCAGTTCCTGGGCGACGCCATCATTCTGCCAGCAGGAGCACTTCACCAGGTAACACACAGCTGTCTCAAGACCCACAAGATGAGATAACATAAACGCAATAAAATAACAGAACCACAGCCATACTCAAATTAGATTTGATTTCCTTGCTGGTAGCTATTACTGTTTAGGAATTTACAGTAAGGTACACGTGCCTGTACGGATGACTAGCTGTACTAACGTACAGCAGCTGGAACCAAGCTTGAAATAATACTGGTCCTTTTTTCTTTTAAATGAAAAACGAGCAGACTATTGCTAACCACTTCTTTCTGCTTTTTATTTCATTAGCAAATTTCTAAATAAACTGGTGTTAGTTATGGCAAAGTCAGGTTAGTGTTTGTTTTTTGTTTTTTTTTTTTCCTTCTAAGCCCAGAGTTTGCCCTGGAGAAGCAGGGAGAGCAACCCAAGCAGGTAAAAATACCTGGATGTTGGGTGTCATTGGTTTTGTTTTCAGCTGTAGAGTAGTAGAGACAGTTTAGATGTAACAGGACGTTTCTGTAACGTGATTTGGAGGTTGTTTGCCTGTTCTGTACACAGAAGGTGCATCAGTCACCAGGAGTCATCACTGTCCCTTTGACAGCTCTCTTTACTGTCAGAAAGAGTGGTATCACCTTTGCAGCAGCTGTGCTGATTTAATTCTTAGTTGTGTTAGAAAAAACATGCTGCAAGTAGGGCAGTGCTGGAGAATGTGGGGATGTGTGGCAGCCTTCAGTCCTCTCCTAGCACGGAGGCTTTGTTAGGGTTGGTTTGTTTTATTTGGTTGGTGGAGTTTTTTCTCACAGTCTGTAGAGTGCTTCTCTTTGGTGAAAAGAGGAAGAAAGCACAATTGTTTAGACATGATTTGGGGCATTTCTAGGTTTGTTTATTTCTTCACTCCATGACCCTTTTCCTGTTCCAACAGGAAATGGAGCCTGCTTTCTTGCTGTCTTGCCAGCTGTCAAGCACCACTGATTAGGTAGCTGACTATCAAGGAACGGGGAACATCCCCACCCTGCAGCAGGGGTTGTAAACCATCTTGTTGCTAAAAGATTTATCACTGATCCCCACCCGGGTTCAAGGGAAGCCAGGCCTTTCTGAAGATGCTGCTGTTTGGTTTCTGATGTGCAGATCAGCTTCCAGCTGGCACCTCTTCTGGGCAGAGAGGAAGCAATGGCTTACCATGTCACTGTGACCAGGGCAGTAGGGTTTTCTCTGGGGGAAAAAAATGAATGGGTTGTAGTGAGGACAGTGGTTATGTCCCTAACCTATCTGGCTATTACCAGTTGCTGGGGCACTGAAAGCAACGTGTACCTTACCCAGACTGGACTCCTTTGTCATTCCAGTGGGTCTCCAGGTGGGTTTCATGTGGTGGTATGTTAAACCTGGACGATAGGTGTGAATTTTTCTGGCAAAAGAAAGAAAGAGGGGGGGAAAAAAGCAAATCCAGGTGACCAGATTGTTGTAGGTTGTCTTTCCCTGTACCATGTCTCAGTGTTGCTTCACAAAGGTGAAGGAGTGTCTGGCATTGATCTTATTCTTGGTTTCCGTTAAAGCAGTTCCTTCTCCCAGAGTGGGTAGGATTTGTATTGCATCCTCCAGCAGCCTGACTCTTACCTCTTGAAACAAGAGATACCCCAGACCCCCAGATACAGGAGTGAAAAGGGAGCCCACAGGGAAAAGAAAAAAACAAAAAAACCCCAAAACAACACCACAAAACAAACAAAAACTACAAAACAAAACAACAGCAAAACAAAAAACCCACACACCAAACCTACTGGGAAATTTGTTCTGTATAACATATAGCACTATATAAAGGCATACAGAATACAAAACATGAAGAAGTGGGACTTCTCCAGCCTTCCCTGCAGTTCATAGGTTTAAGGACCAAAAATAAGACCATTCCTATCTTTATCTCTTTGGCTTTAAACTCTAGATTGCTTTTGAAGTGGTAATGTTCTAGCTTCTGGCACCAAGGAGTTAATAACATGGTGTTTTTAAGCCTTAGTGGTGAAGCTGGGAACCTTTTCATCTTCAGTAAGAGGTTCCTGTGAATCTGCCACGTAGGAGGAAATGAAAGCATCATGTTCTTTCATGTACATGTATAGTATTCTGTGCAGCAATGCATAAATACTCACCTTAGGGATCAGAATCAGCACTTCATCTATACAGAGCACATTTGAAAACTTAAAAATAAGCCTGAACAAGAATATATACCACGTTAAGTTTCAGATTGACATGCGCATCATGAATCTTTAGTCATTAAAACTGGATGGGAGTAGATACTGAATTTGTTGGTACATTAACATTTTTATTTGCTCATCAGTAATGTTGTGGAGCAGAGGGAATCAGGCTTGAGGGCTGGAGTTGGGGATCCTGGCTGCCTGTGGTCAGTGTGTAGTGCAGCTCAGACACTTCCATCCTGGAGGCAGTTTGGACTGTTGTCACACTGCTGCTTCTGACTTGCTGCTCTAGATTTGATTGCTCTAACATGGAGGAGGTTGTGTGTATTTTTTCTATATATATATTGTCTTTGGCTTTATGGATTCAAGTCCAGCTTTTAAAGTATCTTGTTCTTAATATTTTATGGTAGCATAAAGCAGGCTTCTGGCTTCCCAGGTTTCCCCCTCCTCCCTGTGTACTCGCAGCCAGCCGTCACATCCCCCTCGTGGTCACTTGAGTAGGCAAAGTCAAACTGTGCCAGCAACAGGGAGGGTGGGAGAGTCTCTCCTGTGAGCTGTGACAGTGGCAGTAGCCTTGGCAGTGGAGGGAAGTGATGTCTCAGGGGGAAACCAGAAAGAGAGACAGCATTGGACTGGTCTCCTCTGCAGATGCTGCCCTGAATGTACAGTGTGTGATTGCGCCGTAGGATTCTGTCTCCTTTCTTCTTGTCCATACAAGTAGGGGAGCTCGGAAGTGCCTCCTGCTTATGTCTGGGCCTTATCCCTCTGGCATTCCCCAGCTAAAAGGGGGTTTTACTGTTCTTTTGAATGATCTACTCTTTCTGCTGCTCCACCCTGGGCCATCCTCTATCACAGTCATCATCTAGGGATGTCCTCCCTGGTTTTCTTTGGTGACTCCAAATTTGTAGAATATTTTAGTGATAAATTAAAAGTAAGAATACTTGAGTCAGTGATTGAAAAGTTTTTTTTCAGGTTACCTGCGAAACTTGTTCGTAGTAGAACAGGTTATTACAGCGTTGGTTTTCAGAGTGGCATTATCTTGATTTAACCACAGGATTACGGATTGTAAAATGACCTCCTGGAGATAATGCGACATCCTGGTGATGGTACGATAAGGATGTAGGATAAAGGTCTGGGAGCTGCTGGGCTGAGGGCTGGCTCCGGAGCTAAGCCATGCAGGAGAGGGCCGTGCCGTGAGGGTGGAGGGGCCCTTTCCTCCCTGCCCACACACCTTTCTATGTCCTAGCCCAGCTCTGAGGCTTTTCCAACGCTCTGCCCGCCTCCCGGGCCCTGCTGGAAAGCCTCTGCTCTGCGTGGGCTGGGGGAAGCTGTTCTCACAGCTCAGCTGGAGCTGTCCTCCTCGCCCCGCAAGCCTCAAGGGAAACGTTGCCAAACGTTGATTTGTGTGGCCTGGTATGCTGGTAGCATAAATGCTGTGAGCAGAGGTGCCCCTGGGCTGTCAGCGGGGCGTTCCCACGTGAAGCACCCACCCGGCCAGGTAGAATCTGTCCTCCCCACAAGGGCTTCCGCGCTGGTGAGACAGGCCCTGGAAGGGAAGGAGATGCAAGGCACGGCAGAACGCAGCGTCAGAGGGCAAAAGATTGCTTGTTCTGCAGCACAGGGAGAGGGAGTTTGTAAACCCTCATCTCAGTGAGGAGAAAGTGAAAGAGCGCGGTGGGATTTGCATGGGGTGGAAAGGAAAACAAGGGCAGGTAGGAGCTTGAAAGAGGTGAGAAGCCTGGCAGGGGAGGGGAGGGGCTGGGGCCCTCATTTCAGCTGAAGCTCCAGGAAATTCCCCGAGCGCTGGTGGGAGCCTGGGGTGGCAATTCTGCAGCTGTTTGCTCGCTCCTGGCATGCTGCCCTTTGCAAATCTGTGGCATCTGACAAACCCTCTTTGTCTCTGGCAGGACTTTTGTTTTGGTTCAGGAACAGCACTGCTTTGTCCTTGGTGGTGAGGAGGCTGCAGAGACCCTGCACACAGCGCTGGTGCTGAGCCGGGGGTTACCCTCTGGGGTGTCATCTGCAAAGGGGCAGCCCACCGTACAAAATCAGACACGGGTGGTGGGATGGAAGAGGGAAATAATTTTTGCATTAAGTCCTGTGTCCTCAACTGTGTAGGCCCCAAAGTTTTTTTGGGTGTCAGGTATCACAATGGAAATTTTAGAGTATGCATTAACCAAAAAAAAAAAAAAATTAGATCATTGCTGGGCTTGAGCTTAAAATATGCAGATCTTCATCAGTACTGAGCAGGGTGGGACTGTGTTTGCTTGGATGGCAGAGGTGCTCCTTTCCACCCACGGGTTTGTAAGTTTGCAGAATTGACATAGAACAACTTTATGAGCAGTTGGAGTTTGAGGAAATGAGATTCTTGACATGCTGAAGACACAGTGTGATTTGTAAGGGTTTAGGGCTGAAAACCTGATACACTTTGTGTTCTTGAAGAGGACAAACAGGAGCTGGTAGTCGGGTCACAGCTGGGAAGCATTCTTTCCTTTCCCCTGTCCTCCAGGCATGACCTGGGTGGCAGGAGAAGGTGTCTGTTTGTCTCAGGAGTTCCATCTTACCAGTAAGAAGTGGCTAGAGATGAAAACAACTTTCCCCCACCCTCCCTTCTGAACCTGCCCCTTTGTTCATGTTTGGGGTGTTTCCTCCTTTTTTTTCTTTTAAGTATTTCCACCTGCAGTTGATTTTCGGGGAGCACGGCGTGAGGAGCTGGGTGCTGCTGGGCAGGGGTGCTGCGGAGCCGGCACAGCTCCCGTGCTCTGGGGGGCTGTGCAGCAGCACCTGTGGGCAGAGCAGGCTCAACCCCTGCCCGAGCTGGCCGCGGGAGCAGGGGCGGCCACGCGTTGTTCAGAGCGCACCTTTTGCCAGAAGCTCGCTTAGAGACCTTGAATGTGCTCAGTCGCTCTCTGCCTAAAGCATATAAAGGTGCCCTGTAGTCTGATAAGCCTGTGGTTTAAGAGATCTCGAGGCCCGCTCTTCTCTCAGGTGCCTCTGCCAAAGAATATCCCCCCAAATACTAATTGCCAGTCTCTTCTTGTTGTTTTGGATAGGTGCAAAATTTTCACAGCTGCGTTCAAGTAACTGAAGACTTTGTGTCTCCAGAACATCTTGTGCAGTCGTTTCACTTAACGCAGGAGCTGAGGCTGTCAAAGGAAGAAATCAATTACGATGATAAACTGCAGGTAGGAGATGAGCTCTGCTCGGAAGCTGTTGGGAAGGCAGGGCGTGCTCGGGCTCATTGAGATGCGGAGCAGTGCGTGGAGCTACTTCCTCACTGCTGTTCACACAGAATAACAATGAGCAGCAGCCTGAATGCCAGGGGTGCAGATGACTCTCCCTTGACTCGGTGGTTTTATTTATTTCACCTTACCTTTTCAAATAGGTAAGGTGGTGTTTCTTTCTGTGCTGGCTCGAGGCAGCCTGCCTTTGTTTTCCATCCCCACGGGTTAGGGCTCAGTCCTAAATGCTGTTGCTTTACACAGAGTTCCTTAGTCGTAGGCCTTACTAAAACCTGTCTGATGTTTTTGCAGGTTAAAAATATCTTGTACCACGCAGTGAAAGAGATGGTGCGAGCTTTGAAGATCCATGAAGGTGAAATGGAAGACATGGATGAGAACTAAGCGCGCCCTGCTCTTTCTGTGTTGACATCAGATGGTTATTTTTTCTACTATATGAACGGTATGCACACTAATTTAAGCTTCACCAACCATCAGTGCCAAGAAAACGTAGTCATCGTATTTACTTGTTAATGACACTGCAGCGGTAGAGCTTCATATCACAGCCACTGTGATTCCATGTTAGACTTGCAAACAAGCAGCGTTCTGCTGTCCTGTATTATAATGTACATGAAGTTTGTGAAATGTCAAAGATTTAAGATGATGTATTTATTTTTGGAAAAAAACCACAAAATTCTATGCTATATTGTTGATCAAATGTAAATGTGACTTGTACAGTTTGCTAAAATAATTCAAGATATTTTTCACTACATTGAGACAGTTACTGTGAGAGTAGGACACAAACACCAGCTATTGCCTGCATTTGGGATCTTGCTGAGTCCGCACAGCAGTCATGTCATAATCTGAAAATTACTGCCAAATAATTGTAAACTTTGTAAAATATAAAGTATATAAAGTAGATATTAAATACAGACACTTCAGTATTTTATTGAAGCTATTCAGTGTACAATTAAACGTTTTCAAAAGGTGTAATTTATTTAAAAATTGTCTCATTTTGGTAAAATTTATGTGAACTTTTAAAGCTAAATATTAAACTTAATATGCTATGTAAATATATACATATATACATTCAATGATGTATTTTTTTAAAACATTGGCTTGCTTTAATTTGTTAAAAGTGCAAGTGTTACACATGCTTTGTACATTGAAGTTGAAAGGGGTTTTACATTTTCCATTAAAATGACTTTATCAAACCTTGTCTGGTCGTGTTGGTTCTTCACGCCTTGGTCCACGTGTGCCGGCCACAGTCATTCCTCCGCAGTGGCTGGAGTGTCCTGGCCTGGCTCCCTGGCACTGCTCTGCCCCGGCCGGGCCCTGCCCTAAACTGGGGGGAAGCTGGAGCCCAGCAGCCACAGCTGAGCCAGGGGGAGCCTCTCCTTAACAACAGCGCAGGTCCAGCGTCACTCGCGTTCTGTCTGCAGTAATCCAGTGCTTACTCTGGGCGAGGGGCACCAGGAGTTCCTACACAACAACTTACCTATAGCATCTTGGCTGTCTACAATTTGAGTGATGCTGCAAAATAATGGATGTTTTACAAAAAAATTGTTCTAATTTACTAATCATAACTGTTAGTTGTGGAACTCCAGCTCTTGGAGCTAAATTGGAAAAGTTAAAGGTGTACATGGATTTAAATTATTAGAAGGCTTAGATTTGCTGTTGGTTGTCAGGTGCAGCTGTAAGCTAGCTCCTGCTGTGGCCCAAAGGGGACAGACGGTAGCCAGCTTGCTTACTGCTCCCACTCTGACAAAGCCTGGCCACCAAAAAAAAACAGAACAGAAAACCCCATTTAAATTAGCTTAAAAAATACTGAAACATGAAAGCAATTTCTGTTCCAAAAGTAAAGTTCTTCATTTAGTTGGTTCAAAAGCTTGGGATTTACTTGAAGTTGAAAAGAAATACTTGAGGGTTAACTGTGCTTGGTAACTTGAGTTTTGGTGTGGTATTTTTAACATTTGTGACATGGCTGGAGGCTGCTGAAATGTGCGTTCCTGCTGCAGATGGTCATGTCACCCCCAGCCCCACGGCTGTCTTTGCAGTTCACTCCTAGTGCTGGGGTGTCTCTGTAGCTGAAAGGAGTGGGTTTGGTTTCCCCTGTGTCCATCTTGGCCGAAGCCTTGGTTTCTGCTCTCCCTCTTCTCAAAGGTGTTTGGGTGTGTTGCTGTTGGTGGCTGCACAGCGGGCAGCACCCAGTGCTCCTAGCTCTGAGCTGCAGTACCAGGGTGCTGACCCCGCAGCGCTTGCAGACCCAGGGAAGGGTCTGAGGGGAGTTCTTGTCTCCTCCCGTGGCAACTGAAGTCCCTGAACAGAGGCAAATTCGTATTTTTAACCATGAATATTAAAGTTCTTCCTTCGTGACCTTTCTCCTGCCACTTTTGCCAAGGAATCCTTACGTGTATGACAACATTGTTAATCCACAAAAATGTGCGGGTGAAACGGATGGTGGAGCAGCAAGAGTCCTCCCAAAGAAAAGCCCAAAAGATTGATAGGCTTGTAAGACAAAACATCTGGCTTTGGAGAGGCCAAAGTGCCAGTCCCCAGCTGCAGCGTGGCCCGCTGTGCTGCTCAGTGCCTGGGGTAGGAGCTGCTTCACTGCTCTCGGAGCCAAGGGAAATGGGCAAATCAGTTTGAACTGTGTGAATAGGAGTTCACTGTAATCACTACGGAGTTCAGCTGTCCCATTGATTTCTTTGGTACAGTCTGCCTGTAGTAAAGTGATGGGATGGTTACACAGGGTGTACAGTTTTAAAATTTTGTGGTTAATGGGTGTATGTGAAGGATTTGTGCTGCATAAGAGCATAACCTGATGCATTTTGCAGATGGCTGTGGGAATTGCTGCACTGGTAGATGGGGCAGCCTCGTAAGCTGCCCGCAGCAACGACGCTGCTCCCCAGTAACGGATGGGAGGGG